CTGCCTGTCAGAAATCATAGCACGTCAGCTGTCTTAACCGCGGCTTGTGTACTGCATCATCACTGTGTCTGTCACGCGACTCTGTTGCCCTTTCGGACTTGAACTGATGGTAAAACTAACAACATTATTAACTGTCTTTACATTTATTTTGAAAGATGAAGCTGGTGATTATGGTAAGGGGCGTTACATTTCCGACGCGTGCTTGCGGTGTTCGGCCAATCACAATGCACTGGGTCAGCTGGCCAATCAGAGCAGACTGCGCTTGTCAGAAGGAGGGACTTTGTAGAAAATGTGTTTGAGAGAGGCGGGGCATAGAGGACCTACAATAATGTACAGTATTTGAAAAACAATGTGCTTTTTGAACATTAAAGCATGTCAACATATTCTGTTACACCAAATACACAAAATAATGATCTTTAAAATAGCATCATATGACCCCTTTAATAATAACAACAACAATAATAGTAATAATAATATATATTATATATAATATATAATGATTACTGTTAAACAATCCCACTCAGAGCTATGAAGCAGCAGATTTTCAGTTGATAAGAAATTAGTCTGATTAGGGTAAAAAAAAATTATAATATAGATACTGTTCAAATTTTATCCCTTTTATGTTGTAGCAATTTTTCCCTACGATATAAAAATATATTAGCACTATTTTTCAAGGTATTGTGTAGAAGTTAGAAATTCCAGTTTCATGACAACAGTAAAACAGTAACAAAAAATGTACAATTGTACATACCCAGTGACTTTGTCCCCGTTGTTTGTCATTGGATTCTCCGACGATCTCCTCCCATACAGCTGCAGTGCGGTCGAAGGAGCAAGACGCCAACACCTGCCCAAACTCAGGGTGCGCCCATGTCACCCTCCACACCGATCCACTGTGAGTCTACAACAGACAGACACAACTCAGAAATCAGTCAAAAACAGCTAATTTTTTCCCTCCATTAAGGTGTATTTGGTTAAACTAACTAATCATTTCAACATTTAGTTACATTTTTAATATGGTCATATGCACACAAAATATAAATTACCAAAATAATCTAAACGTAAATGCACCTATTGTACCCCACATCTTGAATTTAGCATTTTAGGTTTAAATAGAGAGTTACACCCAAAGAACATAACCAGGGCCGGCGGGTACATTTAGGTGAACTAGGCAGCCGCCTAGGGCAGCAGCACAGTCAGGGCGGCAAAAAGGACAGAGATTTCAGTTTATCTTTTGGGCATTCTTTTGAATTATTGTACTCATATCAACAAGTTATCACCCCTTAGTTATTCTAACTCTAAATTAACTTAGCTTCATAGTAATGTCGCTCCCGAGCCGTGCCCCACCTGAGCGGCATCAATATCACATGCAAAACACCCTCATGTACGTCCATAAATGTCATCAAAATGAATAAAACTATCCGGACATGAATGACTTTTGCTACTGGTGATGTCTGATGAGTTTTAAAGCCCGACACGCGCTTCTGAAAGGTAAGATTATAGCCTACTGTGAGAGAAAGCGTGGGGGAGACACAGGTGGACCAAGTGTATGGTGTAATGCCCAACCCTGTTCCTGGAGATCTACCTACCTGCAGAATTCAGTTCCAACCCTGATCAAACACACCTGTCTGTAATGATCAAGTGTTCCTTCAGATCCTAATAAGTTGGTTCAGTTGTGTTTGATCAAACACGTACATACCAAAACTGTGTTTTGTTTTTTTAGCCTGGTAGCCTAGATATTTAGCCTTTATCATTTATAACACTACGAACAGTGTTTAATTTGTAAATTGCGAGGTCCCGGAATAAAGTGGGGTGACGGATCCGGCAAGTGATCAGAGGATGGAGAGGTATGAATAAAACTATCCGGACATGAATGACTTTTGCTACTGGTGATGTCTGATGAGTTTCAAAGCCTGACACGCGCTTCTGAAAGGTAAGATTATAGCCTACTGTGAAAGAAAGCGTGGGGGAGACACAGGTGGACCAAGTGTATGGTGTAATCCAGGGGTGCCCAACCCTGTTCCTGGAGATCTACCTACCTGCAGAATTCAGTTCCAACCCTGATCAAACACACCTGTCTGTAATGATCAAGTGTTCCTTCAGATCCTAATAAGTTGGTTCAGTTGTGTTTGATCAAACACGTACATACCAAAACTGTGTTTTGTTTTTTTAGCCTGGTAGCCTAGATATTTAGCCTTTATCATTTATAACACTACGAACAGTGTTTAATTTGTAAATTGCGAGGTCCCGGAATAAAGTGGGGTGACGGATCCGGCAAGTGATCAGAGGATGGAGAGGTAATGGAGCATTCGTGCAATCATTTAGTGGACCCACTTAAGTGATTACCAGCTTGCATCAGTTGCTTTTATAGTATGCACATATACTCTAAAAATCATGGTTATTTTATTGCAAAATTTTTTCGTGTTTGGGTAGTTTTTGCGTAACCCAACTCCTGGGACAGGAGAGTCGCAACACCCCAGTGTTTGTAATGAGCGCAGATATTTTGCATTCTTTTCAGGCGAGTAGTTCTCAGTGCCGCCGACTTGCATTTCTTTGGTCAAATATAGGTTTGTGTATGTTTTATTTAATCTATAAAACAGTTTCTTTGCTGTAAATCACTTTATTTTATGCAAAGCAAACCAAGTCACCTAAACAAGCCACATCAGTCTTTTTGCGACGATTAAATGAAAATTAAATTTTTACTTCTAAAATGCTTGTTAAACGAGTTTAAATGTAAGAAATGTTGTATACATGTTTAAACGGTAAAATATGTTGTAGAGAAAGAAAGAAAAATAAAAAAATGTCAAAATAAATGAAAAACTAAAACGAAACCAAACCAACAGCAGTTATTGAACACCTAACTAAAAATAATAATCAAAAATAAATAATCATTTTCTAATCAATCTCAGCATGCTTTAATTTTGTGTCGCTAGAGGTTTGCGTCAATAAGCTTAAATTAAAATGTCTTTGGTCTGCGCTCTGGAAGTGTTCTGTTCATTCTGGTAAAATGTAATTACTAAAACTAAAATTAAAATGGAAACTAAACTGTATAAAAACTAAATAGGCTATAAATCTGTTCACAAAATAAAAACTAAACTAAAATTAACCAAATTATTAATGAAACTAATAAAAAAAAATTGAAAGCGATATTAAAATAAAAACGAATTTAAATGCAAAACTATAATAACCCTGACACGAACATCTTTCAATGGTGTGGGAGGAGGTGGGGTTCCGCCAAATTAGGTTATCGGAATTCGGAGGTGCTGGACCCTGACCCAGCTTGTTCAAATTACACCCTGACTACGAATAGGGATTTCGGCTGTATGAGCACGTCTCTTAGTGAAAACGAACAACAGAGAATTGGGCTTTCCCTGTCCTGAACAAATAAATAATCATTTTCTAATCAATCTCAGCATGCTTTAATTTTGTGTCGCTAGAGGTTTGCGTCAATAAGCTTAAATTAAAATGTCTTTGGTCTGCGCTCTGGAAGTGTTCTGTTCATTCTGGTAAAATGTAATTACTAAAACTAAAATTAAAATGGAAACTAAACTGTATAAAAACTAAATAGGCTATAAATCTGTTCACAAAATAAAAACTAAACTAAAATTAACCAAATTATTAATGAAACTAATAAAAAAAAATTGAAAGCGATATTAAAATAAAAACGAATTTAAATGCAAAACTATAATAACCCTGACACGAACATCTTTCATTGGTGTGTGAGGAGGGGGATCCGCCACATGAGGTTATCGGAATTCGGAGGTGCTGGACCCGGACCCAGCTTGTTCAAACTACACCCTGACTACGAATAGGGATTTCGGCTGTACGAGCATGGCTTGAACAGATTTCTATGTCTCTTAGTGAAAAAGAAGTACAGACACTTGTGCTTTCCATGTCCTGAACAACGTTTGTCGAGCTGCTCACCGGGAATTCTCCCAAATCTTCCCATGGCCACTTCAGGCCTGTACATACACTTAAAGGTCCCCGTAAATGCTTAAACACGCATTGTTCCTCTGTGTGTTGACATCATTTTAACTGAAACAGGAAGACAGGGCGGGACATATCAAGCAGCCCCGCCCCTTTTTAAAATAGCCAATAGCGTTCGTTTATATCACAGCTTGGGCTAGAGCCGTTCAGAGCCGTTGAGCTCCGTAAAGCCGCATTCGACAGGCTATGCCAGCCACAATCTCATCTATATTGCTATAAAATATAGCATTCTGTGTAGAATTCAAATAGCTCCGGTACATTTTGTGGTCTGCGCCGACTCGCGCATGTGATCCGCTCCGTGCTATCGTGTCTCTGGACCGGAGCAGAGTGTGTGTGCGGTGCGGTGGTTAGCGTGACACAGCGCCAAACCAGACTTCTTTTTTTCCTCAATGGAAAGCATATTTACACTGTTTGAATCGTTCCCTGTCCCCTATATAGTGCACTACGTGCCATTCACTGTACAGAACATACTAACTCTGTGGACAAGTGACCGATTTCAGCCGCGGCTTCAGCATCTACTTTATAGTGTAGGGGGCGGGGCTTTGAATTCTAGAGAGCATTTGATTGGACAGAAAGTTTGATGAGACGCTGAAGTACGATGTGACGTCAAAAAAATCTTTGAGCCGTTTTGGCGGAAGTGACGAACTGCAAGCTTTGAATGTTTATATCTTCTAAATGCAAATTTTGTCACTGTTTTGGCGCACACTGCCTTATAGATAACCTTAAGACTAACATAGTGATACTAACACCCAAAAAACTTTAATTTTGATTTCATGGGGACTTTAATTTGCTTTTGCAGCTATACTAGTGGTTATTTTTTATTATTATTTTTTTTACGTTGCAGTAGGAAACAATATATAATAATCAGAAAACACGCCCGTGTGGGGTTAGGATTAGGTGTGGGGGTGGGGTTAGGATTAGGTGTGGGGTTGGGATTAGGATTAGGTGTGGAGGTGGGGTTAGGATTAGGTGTGGGGGTGGGGTTAGGATTAGGGTTAGGGTTAGGATTAGGCAATTAGGTAGCGACTTCAACGAGGGGGTGCATAATCTGGCAGGGGTGCAGAATTCGGCACAACACTGGCCTGGACATAGTTGGGATTAGGTGTGGGTTAGGGTTAGGATTAGGTGTGGAGATGGGGTTAGGATTAGGTGTGGAAGTGGGTTAGGATTAGGTGTGGGGGTGGGGTTAGGATTAGGGGTGGAGGTGACATACAGCCCTCTACGAACACCTAGCAATTGAATTGCCATTGGCTAGTAAATTTTTTTGTTTACTCGCCACACTGATAAATATATACATACATATACACACACACACAGGTTTGTTTTTATGGTTTATGGGGACTCTCCATAGGCGTAATGGTTTTTATACTGTACAAACCGTATATTCTATTGCCCTACCCCTAAACCTACCCCTCACAGGAGACTTTCTGCATTTTTAGATTTTCCAAAAAAACTCATTCTGAATTATTTATAAGCCTTTTGAATTACGGGGACACTGAAAATGTCCTCATAAATCACCTTCTCGTTGTAATACCTATGTCATACCCATGTTATAATACAAATTTGTGTCCTCAAACCACATAAACATGCACACACACACACATACATATACATACACGCATAAACAAACACATACACACACACACACATATATATATTTGTTTGTTTGTGAAATGGCACAGTTTTATAAATATCTGAAAGTACACTCTTAACATCAGTCAGTCAAGCATTATAATATGATAATCAATGTTATTTAATGATATAACTTTTGTAATTAGAATTAAAACTTGATAACCATGTATAAATGGAGTTTAGTCATTTTAAATGAACTTCAGACTGGTGCTGGTGCTTTTTTGGTCATTCAGTGTTTCTGTAAAAAAAAAAAAAATTGGGGAAAAACTAACAAAAATACTGATTAGATAATACTGATACGAATTCTACAATATAAAACGCACCAAGGATTAATGAGCTACTGGATTCATGAATATTAATCAGGTTGTGTGCGTTCGCTCGAACTGATTTGCTGAAATCTAAACAGGGACGATAATAGGTGAGCGCCAGCCAATGAGATTGCCGTTTGCGCATTAGTTCCGCCCACTAGCGGAGAAAGCGGTAGTTCTTAAAAGCTGAAGAATTCCAAAGGAACTCCGTTATTTTTACAGCAAAATACAACAAAGAATATCGTTTACATGTAGCGCGCATAGCTAGCGCCTCAATTCTCTCTCTGCGTGTGTGTGAGACAAAGCGACGGCGAGCAGTGCGCTTCACACTAGAGTTTACGGTGCGCCAAATACACAAACACAGGTGCGCTGCGCATCCATTCAGATGAACTGAAAAGCAGCACAGATCGCTTGACGGAGAGTGAAACGCTCAGTCAGTGTTCTGTGAGTGAAAATATATCTGAGCTAAACTTATACTTAGCCTTCAACTAAGTAAGTTGTCTCGAGTAAAATCTGAGAATTTATTAGCCATTGGCTAATATTACACATCATTTAGTCGCCCAGAGTGAAGATTTAGTCGCAATGTAGAGGGTTGACATAACACAAATAACTCATACCTTCCAGCTAGCAGTACAATGCCATTCTCCGTCGTCACCTTTGTCCCAGACCTAAAACAGTTTAAAAAGGGGGAAAAGCAAGAATGTTTGTCATTAAATTGTGGAACAATTAGGCACATAAGCTAAAGAACCACAAGCTGCACTGAATGAAACCTTCAAGACTCAAAAGCCTATATGAACTACTGAATTTCATGTAATTTGGGGCTTGAAGCGGATTTAAATAGGACAAAAAACGTCTTTCATTCATAAAAATGTCTCTGCCAATTGAAGTCTCTGGCTGTGTCTCAAAACCTAGTAAGCTGCCCTAATAACCCGTGTCACAGGACTCTCAATGTGTCTATGTCGGCACCTGAGTTCACTGTGCAGGTTTATAGACACAGCCTCTGTTAGTAGTGTGCAGTGGACGGTGCAGGTTTATAGACACCGCCTCTGTTAGCAGTGTGCAGTGGATGGTGCAGGTTTATAGACATGCCTCTGTTAGTAGTGTGCAGTGGACGGTGCAGGTTTATAGACACGCCTCTGTTAGTAGTGCGCAATAAACGGTGCAGGTTTATAGGCACCGCCTCTGTTAGTAGTGCGCAATAAACGGTGCAGGTTTATAGGCACCGCCTCTGTTAGTAGTGCGCAATAAACGGTGCAGGTTTATAGGCACCGCCTCTGTTAGTAGTGCGCAATAAACGGTGCAGGTTTATAGGCACCGCCTCTGTTAGTAGTGCGCAATAAACGGTGCAGGTTTATAGGCACCGCCTCTGTTAGTAGTGCGCAATAAACGGTGCAGGTTTATAGGCACCGCCTCTGTTAGTAGTGCGCAATAAACGGTGCAGGTTTATAGGCACCGCCTCTGTTAGTAGTGCGCAATAAACGGTGCAGGTTTATAGGCACCGCCTCTGTTAGTAGTGCGCAATAAACGGTGCAGGTTTATAGGCACCGCCTCTGTTAGTAGTGCGCAATAAACGGTGCAGGTTTATAGGCACCGCCTCTGTTAGTAGTGCGCAATAAACGGTGCAGGTTTATAGGCACCGCCTCTGTTAGTAGTGCGCAATAAACGGTGCAGGTTTATAGGCACCGCCTCTGTTAGTAGTGCGCAATAAACGGTGCAGGTTTATAGGCACCGCCTCTGTTAGTAGTGCGCAATAAACGGTGCAGGTTTATAGGCACCGCCTCTGTTAGTAGTGCGCAATAAACGGTGCAGGTTTATAGGCACCGCCTCTGTTAGTAGTGCGCAATAAACGGTGCAGGTTTATAGGCACCGCCTCTGTTAGTAGTGCGCAATAAACGGTGCAGGTTTATAGGCACCGCCTCTGTTAGTAGTGCGCAATAAACGGTGCAGGTTTATAGGCACCGCCTCTGTTAGTAGTGCGCAATAAACGGTGCAGGTTTATAGGCACCGCCTCTGTTAGTAGTGCGCAATAAACGGTGCAGGTTTATAGGCACCGCCTCTGTTAGTAGTGCGCAATAAACGGTGCAGGTTTATAGGCACCGCCTCTGTTAGTAGTGCGCAATAAACGGTGCAGGTTTATAGGCACCGCCTCTGTTAGTAGTGCGCAATAAACGGTGCAGGTTTATAGGCACCGCCTCTGTTAGTAGTGCGCAATAAACGGTGCAGGTTTATAGGCACCGCCTCTGTTAGTAGTGCGCAATAAACGGTGCAGGTTTATAGGCACCGCCTCTGTTAGTAGTGCGCAATAAACGGTGCAGGTTTATAGGCACCGCCTCTGTTAGTAGTGCGCAATAAACGGTGCAGGTTTATAGGCACCGCCTCTGTTAGTAGTGCGCAATAAACGGTGCAGGTTTATAGGCACCGCCTCTGTTAGTAGTGCGCAATAAACGGTGCAGGTTTATAGGCACCGCCTCTGTTAGTAGTGCGCAATAAACGGTGCAGGTTTATAGGCACCGCCTCTGTTAGTAGTGCGCAATAAACGGTGCAGGTTTATAGGCACCGCCTCTGTTAGTAGTGCGCAATAAACGGTGCAGGTTTATAGGCACCGCCTCTGTTAGTAGTGCGCAATAAACGGTGCAGGTTTATAGGCACCGCCTCTGTTAGTAGTGCGCAATAAACGGTGCAGGTTTATAGGCACCGCCTCTGTTAGTAGTGCGCAATAAACGGTGCAGGTTTATAGGCACCGCCTCTGTTAGTAGTGCGCAATAAACGGTGCAGGTTTATAGGCACCGCCTCTGTTAGTAGTGCGCAATAAACGGTGCAGGTTTATAGGCACCGCCTCTGTTAGTAGTGCGCAATAAACGGTGCAGGTTTATAGGCACCGCCTCTGTTAGTAGTGCGCAATAAACGGTGCAGGTTTATAGGCACCGCCTCTGTTAGTAGTGCGCAATAAACGGTGCAGGTTTATAGGCACCGCCTCTGTTAGTAGTGCGCAATAAACGGTGCAGGTTTATAGGCACCGCCTCTGTTAGTAGTGCGCAATAAACGGTGCAGGTTTATAGGCACCGCCTCTGTTAGTAGTGCGCAATAAACGGTGCAGGTTTATAGGCACCGCCTCTGTTAGTAGTGCGCAATAAACGGTGCAGGTTTATAGGCACCGCCTCTGTTAGTAGTGCGCAATAAACGGTGCAGGTTTATAGGCACCGCCTCTGTTAGTAGTGCGCAATAAACGGTGCAGGTTTATAGGCACCGCCTCTGTTAGTAGTGCGCAATAAACGGTGCAGGTTTATAGGCACCGCCTCTGTTAGTAGTGCGCAATAAACGGTGCAGGTTTATAGGCACCGCCTCTGTTAGTAGTGCGCAATAAACGGTGCAGGTTTATAGGCACCGCCTCTGTTAGTAGTGCGCAATAAACGGTGCAGGTTTATAGGCACCGCCTCTGTTAGTAGTGCGCAATAAACGGTGCAGGTTTATAGGCACCGCCTCTGTTAGTAGTGCGCAATAAACGGTGCAGGTTTATAGGCACCGCCTCTGTTAGTAGTGCGCAATAAACGGTGCAGGTTTATAGGCACCGCCTCTGTTAGTAGTGCGCAATAAACGGTGCAGGTTTATAGGCACCGCCTCTGTTAGTAGTGCGCAATAAACGGTGCAGGTTTATAGGCACCGCCTCTGTTAGTAGTGCGCAATAAACGGTGCAGGTTTATAGGCACCGCCTCTGTTAGTAGTGCGCAATAAACGGTGCAGGTTTATAGGCACCGCCTCTGTTAGTAGTGCGCAATAAACGGTGCAGGTTTATAGGCACCGCCTCTGTTAGTAGTGCGCAATAAACGGTGCAGGTTTATAGGCACCGCCTCTGTTAGTAGTGCGCAATAAACGGTGCAGGTTTATAGGCACCGCCTCTGTTAGTAGTGCGCAATAAACGGTGCAGGTTTATAGGCACCGCCTCTGTTAGTAGTGCGCAATAAACGGTGCAGGTTTATAGGCACCGCCTCTGTTAGTAGTGCGCAATAAACGGTGCAGGTTTATAGGCACCGCCTCTGTTAGTAGTGCGCAATAAACGGTGCAGGTTTATAGGCACCGCCTCTGTTAGTAGTGCGCAATAAACGGTGCAGGTTTATAGGCACCGCCTCTGTTAGTAGTGCGCAATAAACGGTGCAGGTTTATAGGCACCGCCTCTGTTAGTAGTGCGCAATAAACGGTGCAGGTTTATAGGCACCGCCTCTGTTAGTAGTGCGCAATAAACGGTGCAGGTTTATAGGCACCGCCTCTGTTAGTAGTGCGCAATAAACGGTGCAGGTTTATAGGCACCGCCTCTGTTAGTAGTGCGCAATAAACGGTGCAGGTTTATAGGCACCGCCTCTGTTAGTAGTGCGCAATAAACGGTGCAGGTTTATAGGCACCGCCTCTGTTAGTAGTGCGCAATAAACGGTGCAGGTTTATAGGCACCGCCTCTGTTAGTAGTGCGCAATAAACGGTGCAGGTTTATAGGCACCGCCTCTGTTAGTAGTGTGCAGTGGACGGTGTTCTCTTGCCTTGACGCTCTGATCACTGGAGCAGGTCGCCATCCTCCGACCGTGAAAGTCATAAGAAACATCGTGAATCAGGTCTTTATGATCCGCGGCGATGCTCTTCGCCACGAACATCTTCTAAACTACTTCTTAATAAAGACAATATCTCACACAACTCAGTTAATAAAACAGCAGAGGCTTGTTTAGTCAAACTTCAGCAGAAATGTTGAACTCTAGAGTAGCGGTGCCGTGTTTCTTTACTGGAATCGTTGCTCGCTGATTAAAGCATCTGAGAGCTGATTACTGCCACCTACTGCATGAGCGGAGTTACTGCAGCCAATATTAATAAACTCGCATAAACCGAGGCGCGAATGAACATCAAATGTCTACAAAAACGATTCGATCTTACCAGATTTAACAAAACCGGCATCCAATGTTTTGATATAGTAATTATTTATTCAATATGTTAAAGTCTTGAATCTTAAATGTATTTTTCTTTCTTGACATTTCGTTTTTTTTAACATCCGTTAGAGCTCTGTGCCCCACTGATGTTGATAGAAATCGAAATCATTTATCAAATAAGTCCACTGGTCGCATTTTTCCACAGACAATTAACTGAAGACATTTATCTTCCTTAAAAACGATTAGTTTATATAAGTAGTCAATGTAAAATGCATGGACAGTTGGAGGTGTTTGTGTGTTGAAGTTCAATATCATGCTCACTACGTCTGTATTTCTTTAGGAGACGGCTATCTAGTGGACCTTTGTGGTATGAATGAAAGGGCGCTTCACAGACACACCCGTTTTGATCACGTCTCTCAAACACAGAATCAGGAAATGACATCAACTCTCCACTTCGAGGAAACGAAACTTCAGTGCCACTTAGCTGTACTGTGTCTCTGTGCATGCAGTGAAATGGCTGAAGCCAGATTTTCTCATGACCAGTTCAGATGCCCAGTGTGTCTGGAGTTGCTGAAGGATCCAGTGACCATCCCCTGTGGACACAGTTACTGTAGGGGCTGCATTACAGGCCACTGGAATCAAGAGGATCAGATACGATTCTACAGCTGCCCTGAATGCAGACAGACCTTCAGACCAAGACCTGTTTTAAAGAAAAGCACCATGCTGGCTGAAGTGGTGGAGCAACTGAAGAAGAGTAAACTCCAAACTGCTGTTCCTGCTGGACCTGGAGATGTGGAGTGTGACGTCTGTACTGAAAGAAAAAACAAAGCCATCAAGTCCTGTCTGGTGTGTCTGAACTCTTTCTGTCAAAATCACCTTGAACAACATGAGAATCTCTTCAAAGGAAAGAGACATGATCTAATAGATGCCACTGGACGACTTCAGGAGATGATCTGCCATCAACATGAAAAACTGCTAGACATTTACTGCCAGACTGACAAGCAGTGTATATGCATGGCCTGCATGGTGGATGAACACAAAAGTCATGAGACTGTATCAGCTGCAGCAGAGAGGACCGAAAAACAGGTACAGACTGAGAGACAGTGTTAAGATTATCCAGTACCCTGCAATGAAAACACAAAGGTAGGAGTCACTCAGAAACATTTCCCTCATATTTCTGTGATGTGCTGTTGTTTTGTCCTATACAGAGACAATTAGACGAGACACGGAGAGAATTCCAGCAGCAAATCCAGGAGCGAGAGCAGAAGCTTCAGGAGCTGAAAAAGGCTGTGAAAACTCACAAGGTGAGTTCTGAGGAGAAGCAGCAGCGCTGGTTTAGTTAAGACTCTTCTTCAGTTGGTTATTGAGGGTGATTTTCAGTCCCACTGAAGCACAGCAGACTGTGTGAGCAGCAGTAAGAGCTGATTGTAATGTGTGTCCTACAGCGCTCTGCACAGACAGCAGTGGAGGACAGTGAGAGGATCTTTACTGAACTCATCAGCTCCATTGAGAGAAGACGCTCTGAGGTCACACAGATGATTAGAGATCGAGAAAAGACTGTAGTGAGTCGAGCTGAAGCACTTATGAAGCGACTAACACAGGACATTGGTCAACTAAGGAGGAGTGATGCTGAACTACAACAGCTTTCACAGACACATAATCACACCTATTTCCTCCAGGTAACACCATGGCCATCAGTCTTTTCATTACTGAGAGCTTTTACAGATTTTATTGACACTTGAGCAGCATTTACTCTCTATGAAATATTTCTGTCTTAAATTTATTCTCTAGTTGTTTGTGTCTGTGTAGAGTTTCCCGTCTCTCCCTGTTCCTCCTGGATCTCCAGATGTTCCCAGCATCACTGACAGTTCTTTGGATGTTGTAGGAAAATCAGTCGCTAAACTGAGACAGAAACTGGAGGATTTCTGCAGAGAAGAGATTGAAAAACTTTCTGGAAGAGGTAAAGTACTGGAGACTCATTGGTATTCTATCTATCTAGTTCCTTTACACTGAAACTGTGTGTCATGTGTGTTGTTTTCCACAGTGACATGCATCCAGATCATTCCCACCCCAGAATATGAGAGCAGGAAAGACTTCCTACAGTGTAAGTTACTAGGAAAATAGGAATACACAAAAGACAGCATTGCTATATGACAAGGTCTCTTTATGGACACCGATAAATCAGTGTATTATTTTTCTATGATTTTTTTAAACATGCAAATACACATGAAACGTGAAAATAAGAATGACTTATTTACATCAGTGGTTCTCAATTCCAGTCCTCATGACCCCTTGCTCAGGGAGTAGGGAGCAATGAACACTGTGTAGGGACACTGTCATTTGGAACTCAGTTCATGCATGGGGCTCTCTTCTAACAAGCTGATGATCTGAATCAGGTGTGGTAAATAAGAGAGACATGCAAAATGTGCAGAGCGGGCGGGGGGGGG